TTTTATTAATTTTTTACTTTACACTTTACCTGGTCCTACAGCTTCCTGGGATACTAAAATTACATTTTCCAGGAGAGTGTCTGATCAGGCACACAGAGTGGTGGGCCACAAGGTGGGCCTGGTGCATTATCGGAAGTTGACTGCCTGCAACCACATGAGGCAGACAACTGAAAATTATGGCATGGGACTCACCTGAACATCAGATCACAGTGGGGCAATGCTAGATTCACTTTACAATATGTGTAAAGAATTAACTGCTCAGTTAACCTCCTCTAGTGATGTCCACTCTCAGTTTGCTGGTACTTAGATTATTGTATCAGATGTAAACCCTAACTGTCACAAGTTAGCCTGCAGTTTCTTGTTTGTGTTCTCACCTTCTTGCTGCAGTCCTGTTCCTGATCCCCTCTCATGTTTGTCTGTGCATCTATGGGCATCGTCTGCTGTCCTCTGGGTTTTATTTCCTTCCCTTCCATCACTTCCTGTCCCGCCTACTTTGTTTGCCTGTCTATATAAGACTTGCTCAGACTAGGCCACTTTTCCTGAGCAACTTCCTAGTTGCTGGAGCTCCCGTGTGTTTCTGTTGTCTTGAATCCTATATTGACTACCCGTGTACCGACCCTGGCTTCGTTCTCTGACCTTGCTTGTTTTCCACCTGTCCTGACCTTGGCTTGCCTATCAGATTCCATTTGTCTTCTCCCGTGATACCCTGCTCCAGCGAGCAGTCTCCTCAACCTCAGCTGGGTGTACCTGGGGGCCACGACCTGGTCCCAGCTTGCTTCAAGTCCATCCCCACCATCAGGGGCTCTGGTGAACAAGCAGGCTGGGGCTTAGACTCTGCGCCCTGGGGAACCCCAAGTTGAGGATCCATAACAGCTCACTACCACCGGTGCTGATACTAACTACTGTAAATTACATTTAGTTTGCTAAACAAGAGCATTAAAAAGACTTATTTTTACATTTTTCATTCTTTGTTGCATTTCATTGCTGCTTATTTCTTGCAATCTCTTGTGTCAGCTTCTACTTGTCATCTCTATCAGAAGCATGCATGAAGTGATAACAACACAGGAACACAACTGGAAGACCAAGACAGAGTGTTGTCACCCTATTACCAAATTGAACAAGGACCTTCATTGCAGGAGAACCTGGCATTATTGAAATATGAAAAAAAAAATGTTGAACAAAATATCATGTTTGTTTGATTTATATATAAATTCTTCTTCTAAAGGGCAGATGATTGGATACAATATTATTCCTATATAGAAAAGAAAAACCATGAGCTATTGCTCATATTATTTTGATTGATTTTGTCAAATAGCAAATTCACATCAGAAATAATGCCATAGATAGAACAATACAGATGCCAGGTCTGCATTTAGGAAAACTGTAAATATTTCACTACAACAGTCCATTGTAGTTGCTAGGCATAATTGTATAGTTTATTTCCCGACCTTCTCTTTTTAAATCATGACTTTCAATGAATTTTTCAGATTAGAAAGTATATTATCATCTGCTTCAGTAATTTATGGTACTTACCAATATACATATCCAATACTTTATTTTGTAATGTTTTTTCTTCCAGAATTCTCAATGAATTTAGCAGTTTGTACTTTTCTAAAAAAAAAAAATGTAAAAAGTCTTTAAAAAGTCTTATTCTTACATGAAGCTATCATTATAAATATGTTTGTAATTTGTATTATTTCTTTTTTTATACAGAGAACTAAGGGGGTGATTTGATAAAGACAGTTAGTCTGTTCACTTAGCAAGCTATTTACTTTTAGTAAGATAACCCCGTAATGTCTTTTATCTACAATTAAATGCCATAAAAAGCTACAGGTAAGGCTTTGAAATCTGGTGAGAAATCTGGTTTAATTTTACCTGTTGGCAAGAGAGTACGCAAATACAGTGGGGATCGAAAGTTTGGGCACCCCAGCTAAAAATTTGTATTAATGTGCATAAAGAAGCCAAGGAAAGATGGCAAAATCTCCAAAAGGCATCAAATTACAGATTAGACATTCTTATAATATGTCAACAAAAGTTAGATTTTATTTCCATCATTTACACTTTCAAAATAACAGAAAACAAAAAAATGGCGTCTGCAAAAGTTTGGACACCCTGCAAAGTTAATATCTTGTACTGCCCCCTTTGGCAAGTATCAGAGCTTGTAAACGCTTTTTGTAGCCAGCCAAGAGTCTTTCAATTCTTATTTGAGGTATCTTTGCCCATTCTTCCTTACAAAGTCTTCCAGTTCTTTGAGATTTTTGGGCTGTCTGTCACGCACTACTCTTTTAAGGTCTATCCATAGATTTTCAATTATGTTGCGGTCAGGAGATTGTGAAGGCCATGGCAAAACCTTCAGTTTACCCCTCTTGATGTAATCCCCGGTGGATTTCGAGGTGTGTTTAGGATCATTATCCATTTGTAGAAGCCTGTCAGGAATGGACTGGCCAGCAATGGTGGGACTCACCTGCCTTTTGATCTGCAGTACCAGGGCTGGCCAGCGGGTGCTCCCAGCAATCAGAGACTCAACCTTTCAGCCAGCTAACACCTGGAACTGATGATACTGGTGTATTTAAGGGATGGCCAGACTTGCAGACTCTGCCTTGGTGTTGTGTTTGTCCTGGGCCCTGTATCTGTCCTGCATCCTGTTTCTGTTCCTTTGCTACCTGTTCTGATCCCTGGCTTGTGACCCTGACCATCCCTCTGCCTGACCCTCTGTACTACGCTGCTTGCTACCTGTTCTGATCCCTGGCTTGTGACCCTGACCATCCCTCTGCCTGACCCTCTGTACTACGCTGCTTGCTACCTGCTGAACCTGGCCTGTGACCCCAACCATTCTCCGCTTGCTCCCCCTGTACCTACCTGCCCAATTGATATTGACTCGGCCTGCCTGACGACGCTTGCTTGTATGTACTGTTATCTGTGGTGGTTGGTTGGGTTTGTTTGCACTGTATTATGTTTAGTATTGCACTGCGTTTATGTTTGTATTGTTAGTGTTAATAAATTACATTGTTAATCACATATCTGAAGTCTGCATTTCCCTGCTTCAGTCACACACCTCTGGTCATACCCGGGAGCCCTGACATTACACCAAGGCCAATCCTGACCAGAAGTGGCTGCACAGGGAAGCCATCTTGGCTTGTTGATGGGAAGGATGGATCTGGATGAGGTTGCGTATTTATATCTGCTAGTGTTTGATGACAGGGAGGATGCTTATCAAACTCTGAAGGAGTATCCCCGGGATGAACTGCTAGAATGTATACGGCTCGCTCATGTTCTAGTAGATCAGGGCACAGAGTTCTCTGAGGTGCAGCCTTTGATTGAGGTTTGTGCAGAGTTGGTTTCATCTGGTACCCCCGAATGCAGGGATGAATTTTTGCCACCATTTAGTGCAGACCAGGTAGAGTCCCTGGTATGGTTATTAGAGGATGATGTGGGTTACTTTCTGGAGCGTTATTCCACATGTTCACCACAGACACTAAGAGATTGTATAAACGCAGTGCAGTCATTGACCAGACAGGCTTTGTGTAAGCTCAGCTTTGTTCAACCCATACTGCAGACATGGACAGACTTGTTGCACCCAGCCTCAGTCAGCTTACAACAACCCAGTCCTGCTTCTAACTCTACTCCTGTATTCCCACCAGCTCCTCCAGTTACAGCCCAGTATACTTGGCTATCTACCGCATGTCAGTACCCTGTTCCCACTCGCTGCACCTATCCTGCCTTTAACCCTGTAAAAAAGCCCTCTGTAGCAACTGCTCCCTCTCCTGTTTCCATCCTCCAGTTCTTCTCTGTCTCCAGCTGCTCCATTCGTTTGCAGACCTGCGTTTACTTGCAGTGCTCCAGTAGTTAAAACCAGAAAAAAAGCGAAAATTCTTTCCAACCAATACCATCCTGCCAGTATCCAAACCGGTGAGCCTGCCTTCCGTGGTTCAGCCTGAAGCCTCTACTCAGCCTGAAGCCTCTACTCAGCCTGAAGCCTCTACTCAGCCTGATGCCTGTACTCGGCCTGATGCCTGTACGCAGCCTGATGCCTCTCTTCAGCCTGATGCCGGTACGCAGCCTGATGCCTCTCTTCAGCCTGATGCCTGTATGCAGCCTGATGCCTCTCTTCAGCCTGATGCCTCTACTCGGCCTGGCCTCCTGCCTGATGCCTCTACTCGGCCTGACTCGGGCCTCTACTCGGCCTGATGCCTCTACTCGGCCTGATGCCTCTACTCGGCCTGAAGCCTCTACTCGGCCTGATGCCTCTACTCGGCCTGATGCCTCTACTCGGCCTGATGCCTCTACTCGGCCTGATGCCTCTACTCGTCCTGGCCTGAAGCCTCTACTCGGCCTGAAGCCTCTACTCGGCCGGACGCCGGCATTCAGCCTGATGCCTCTACCCAGCATGATGAACTGATCCAGCCTGACAATCCTATTAGGCCAGTTGACTCGATGCCCGCTTTTGATCCAGATGATCCGGTACCTGATCCGGTGCCCGCTGTCGTGCCAATTGATCAGAGCCCGCTGTCGTACCTGGTGACTCGGTGCCCACTGCCTTGCCAGATGACGCGGTGCCCGCTGGCGAGCCAAATGACCTGATGCCTGGTGACCCAGTGCCCGCTGTCATACCTGGTGACCCGATGCCGCTGTCGAGCCAGACGATCCAATGCCTGGTGACCCGGTGCCCACTGCCTTGCCAGATGACGCGGTGCCCGCTGGCAAGCCAAATGACCTGATGCCTGGTGACCCAGTGCCGCTGTCATACCTGGTGACCCGATGCCTGCTGTCGAGCCAGACAATCCGGGTACCTAATGACCCGGTGCCCACTGTCGCGCCTGTTGACTCGAAGCCCACTGCCTTGCCAGATGACGCGGTGCCCGCTGTCGAGCCAAATGACCTGATGCCTGGTGACCCGATGCCCGCTGTCCAGCCAGACGATTCAATGTTTGCCCCAGTGCCCGCGGTCATGCCAGTTGACTCGGAACCCACTGCCTTGCCAGATGCGCGGTGCTCGCTGTCAAGCCAAATGACTTGATGCCTGGTGACCCGATGCCCGCTGTCCAGTCAGACGATCCAATGTCTGACCCAGTGCCCGTGGTCATACCAGTTGACTCGGAGCCCACTGCCTTGCCAGATGACGCGGTGCCCGCTGTCGAGCCAAATGACCTGATGCCTGGTGACCCGATGCCCGCTGTCCAGCCAGACGATCCAATGTCTGACCTAGTGCCAGCGGTCATGCCAGTTGACTCGGAGCCCACTGTCGTGCCTGGTGACTCGGTGCCCGCTGCTCCGCCTGGGGGCCCGAGACCTGTCGCTCCGCCTGGGGGTCCAGCGCCCGCCGCTCCACCTGGGGGTCCGGCGCCCGCCGCCCCGCCTGGGGGCCCGAGACCTGTCGCTCCGCCTGAGGGCCCGAGACCTGTCGCACCGCCTGGGGGTCCGGCGCCCCGCCGCTCCGCCTGAGGGCCTGAGACCTGTCGCTCTACCCGGGGGTCCGGCGCCCGCCGCTCCGCCTGAGGGCCCGAGACCTGTAGTTCCGCCTGGGGGTCCGGCGCCCGCCGCTCCGCCTGGGGGCCCGATGCCTGTCGCCCCGCCTGGGGGCCCGATGCCTGTCGCCCCGCCTGGGGGCCCGATGCCTGTCGCTCCACCTGGGGGTCCGGCGCCCGCCGCTCCGCCTGAGGGCACGAGACCTGTCGCTCCACCCGGGGGTCCGGCGCCCGCCGCTCCGCCTGGGGGCCCGAGGCCTGTAGTTCCGCCTGGGGGTCCGGCGCCCGCCGCCCCGCCTGGGGGCCCGATGCCTGTCGCCCCGCCTGGGGGCCCGATGCCTGTCGCCCCGCCTGGGGGCCCGATGCCTGTCGCCCTGCCTGGGGGTCCGATGCCTGTCGCCCCGCCTGGGGGCCCGAGGCCTGTCGCTCCATCTGGGGGTCCGGCACCCGCTCCGCCTGAGGGCCCGAGACCTGTAGTTCCGCCTGGGGGCCCGATGCCTGTCGCCCCGCCAGGGGGCCCGATGCCTGTCGCCCCGCCCGGGGCCCGAGGCCTGTCGCCCCGCCCGGGGGCCCGAGGCCTGTCGCCCCGCCCGGGGGCCCGAGGCCTGTCGCCCCGCCCGGGGGCCCGGTGCCTGTCCCCCCGCCCGGGGGCCCGGTGCGTGCCGCTCCGCCCGGGGGCCCGGTGCCTGTCGCTCCGCCCGGGGGCCCGGTGCGTGCCGCTCCGCCCGGGGGCCCGGTGCCTGCCGCTCCGCCCGGGGGCCCGGTGCCTGCCGCTCCGCCCGGGGGCCCGCTGCCTGCCGCTTCGCCTGGTAGCCCGATGTGCCTCTGCCCGGGGTCCTGCCCAATGTGCCTCTGCCCGGAGTCCTGCCCGATGTGCCTCTGCCCGGAGTCCAGCCCGATGTGCCTCTGCCCGGTGTGCCTCTGCCCGGAGTCCTGCCCGATGTGCCTCTGCCCGGAGTCCAGCCCGATGTGCCTCTGCCCGGTGTGCCTCTGCCCGGAGTCCAGCCCGGTGTGCCTCTGCCCGGAGTCCAGCCCAATGTGCCTCTGCCCGGAGTCCAGCCCGATGTGCCTCTGCCCGGAGTCCAGCCCGATGTGCCTCTGCCCGGAGTCCAGCCCGATGTGCCTCTGCCCGGAGTCCTGCCCGATGTGCCTCTGCCCGGAGTCCAGCCCGACGTGCCTCTGCCCGGAGTCCAGCCCGACGTGCCTCTGCCCGGAGTCCAGCCCGATGTGCCTCTGCCCGGAGTCCAGCCCGATGTGCTTCTGCCCGGAGTCCAGCCCGATGTGCCTCTGCCCGGAGTCCAGCCCGATGTGCCTCTGCCCGGTGTGGCTCTGCCCGGTGTGCCTCTGCCCGGAGTCCAGCCCGATGTGCCTCTGCCCGGTGTACCGCTGCCCGGAGTCCTGCCCGGTGTGCCAGTCTTTGATATCCCGCCAGTTACCAGACCCGGGCGGTGGAACATTTTTCCCAGCTAGGACTGTTTGGAGCGTCCTGAGGCTGCTCTTTGAGGGGGGGGGTACTGTCAGGAATGGACTGGCCAGCAATGGTGGGACTCACCTGCCTTTTGATCTGCAGTACCAGGGCTGGCCAGCGGGTGCTCCCAGCAATCAGAGACTCAACCTTTCAGCCAGCTAAACACCTGGAACTGATGATACTGGTGTATTTAAGGGATGGCCAGACTTGCAGACTCTGCCTTGGTGTTGTGTTTGTCCTGGGCCCTGTATCTGTCCTGCATCCTGTTTCTGTTCCTTTGCTACCTGTTCTGATCCCTGGCTTGTGACCCTGACCATCCCTCTGCCTGACCCTCTGTACTACGCTGCTTGCTACCTGTTCTGATCCCTGGCTTGTGACCCCTGACCATCCCTCTGCCTGACCCTCTGTACTACGCTGCTTGCTACCTGCTGAACCTGGCCTGTGACCCCAACCATTCTCCGCTTGCTCCCCCTGTACCTACCTGCCCAATTGATATTGACTCGGCCTGCCTGACGACGCTTGCTTGTATGTACTGTTATCTGTGGGTGGTTGGTTGGGTTTGTTTGCACTGTATTATGTTTAGTATTGCACTGCGTTTATGTTTGTATTGTTAGTGTTAATAAATTACATTGTTAATCACATATCTGAAGTCTGCATTTCCCTGCTTCAGTCACACACCTCTGGTCATACCCGGGAGCCCTGACAAAGCCATCCTCTCTTTAACTTCAGCATTTTCACAGATGTCATCAAGTTACCATCCAAAATTTGCTGAAATTTTATTGAATCCATTTTTCCTTCTACTCGTGAGATGTTCCCTGTGCCACTGGCTGCAACACAACCCCAAAGTATGATTGATCCAACCCCATGCTTAACAGTTGGACAGAGGTTCTTTTCATTAAATTCTGTGCCCCTTCTTCTCCAAACGTACCTTTGCTCATTCCAGCCAAAAAGTTCAATTTTAACCTCATCGGTCCACAGAACTTGTTTCCAAAATGCATCAGGCTTGTCTTTATGTTCATTTGCAAAGTTCAAACAATGATTTTTGTGGTGAGGACGTAGAAGAGGTTTTCTTCTGATGACTCTTCCATGAAGACCATATTTGTACAAGTATCTCTTTATAGTGGAATAGTGTACCACAACTCCAGTGTCTAGCAGATCTTTCTGGAGGGATCGTGCAGTCAAACGTGGGTTTTGAATTGTTTTTCTCACAATCCTGCGAGCTGTTCTGTCTGATATTTTTTCTTGGTCTTCCAGATCTTGCTTTAACTTCCACTGTTCCTGATGACTGCCATTTCTTAATTACATTCCGAACAGAGGATATTGACATCTGAAAACGCTTTGCTATCTTCTTATAGCCTTCTCCAGCTTTGTGAGCGTCAACTATTTTCAGTTTCAGTTTTCTAGACAACTGCTTAGAAGAACGGATGGTGCTGATTGTTGGGGCAAGGTCAGACGAGTCTGGGCATTTAAAACCTTTGAGATTGACATCACCTGGTCTTCCCAGACGATGATTGAGAACAATCCATGACACTGGCAGGTCTCAGCTTGGCAAACGGGGCAGTGCATGCTATAAATTCTGCAGGGTGCCCAAACTTTTGCAGACGCCACTTTTTTGTTTTCTGTTATTTTGAAAGTGTAAATGATGGAAATAAAATCTAACTTTTGTTGACATATTATAAGAATGTCTAATCTGTAATTTGATGCCTTTTGGAGATTTTTCCATCTTTCCTTGGCTTCTTTATGCACATTAATACAAATTTTTAGCTGGGGTGCCCAAACTTTCGATCCCCACTGTATGTGACTGTGCGCAAATATGTGGCCTTTCAGTGGCCTGGCCTTGACGCTGAGAGGCCGCATATTTGAGTACCTAGAAAAAAGCACGTGTCAAGAGTGTGCACCCTGGTACTTCAAGGAAAGTAGTGATCGGGAAATTTCCAATCATATGACTGCTGTGGCAGCCAATCACGACAGTCACATGACCCTAAACCATGCCAGCAACACAAACCTTAAATGCCGGCGCCAAGAGGTTAACTTACACAGTAGTCACTGGTTTTATTTTCATAGTGGGACAGCAACCTGCCATAACCTGTGATAAGAATGTGAAGGGAGATCAAGAATAGCTCTTATTAAAGTGATTGTAAAACTTTCATTTTTTTAAATTAAAACAACAAACATGTTATACTTAACTACTGTAATGGTTTTGCACAAAGCAGCCCTAGTCCTCCTTTTCATGGGTCCCCCGCTACTGATCCTGGCTCCTCCTATCCGCCAAAAGACCCTATGAAGAACTACTTCCTATGGGGGCACTCATGAGTGCTCGATACCGAGCCGCGCTGTTTGCATCTACCCAGCACACAGCCCAGCTTGGCCCTGTCCCCCACTCTCTGCTCACGGGTTTTGACTGACAGCTGTCAGCCAAGTCTGTGAGAGCACAGGCATGCACAGCACTTGATCAAGTTAGGGCCCAGGTGAGTATTTGAGGGGGCGAAGACTACTGTTAAAAGGTTTTTTACCCTAACGTAGAGAATGCATTAAGGTAAAAAAATAAACTTTTACCTACAAGAGGCTGACGCAAAGACAGAATGAGAAACTGTTTATAATTACATGTCAGCTTCCAGCAATTTGATCAGTTTAATCAAATTTACTGATGACAGGAAGCAGAGAGCCAGACGAAGGCATGATTAGACTAGCTACTGGAGCAAGAAGACAGGAGGACATGATAGGGAACAGTGCCCTGGTGGGAACTTACCCTAAACCATAGTCAGAGGAAACAGGCTCTAGAGATGTGCAGGAGGAGCAAGGAAAGGAAAACCCCATAGCTCCAGTGCTTTGGGAATCTATAGATCCAGCTGACAGCATGCCTGGTACCTGATGCAACATTGTCCCTAAAGAGTAACTTCACTTTTTTTGAGAAAAAAACATTCCTCTCTGGGTGATCTATGTACATAGAAAGGATTTTATCATACTTTGTTGCAGATTTTTACTTATGGTTATTCTGAAGAAATAACTGTTTGTCTGTGTAAAAGTGCAGAGTGATTTCACAATTATGAGTTAACTGCTGCACCTGCAGGGCTCTAATGAGGAAAATTGCAGGGTCTGCAACCCTTTGGGAGTATCTCAACAAAAATGACATTTGTTTTACAGGGGATGCTAGAACTGTGACTTATATCTTAGTGCAGACTTCTGGGAAAACCAATACGTCAATCACACAAGCAGGAAACCTCAGAGTATTGCCCCCGTGATCAGCAAATCCCAGGTGCAATGTGAGGATTCTGCTGACTCTCAGTATAGCTGTCTGCCTGTACCTCCCATAAGGGCAGACAGTTACTGAAGTCCAGGAAGATCAACGAATTATGAGAGCACTCCCCAGTACATGAACAGTTCATTAAAAACTACAAGCCATCAGCAGCGGTGGAAGGCAGTACATGTAGTCCATTCATTCACAGAACTCTATGAATGAATTACGCTTCTGTGTGGGTCCAAATTGTGACAGTATGAACGAGGAGCTGATCCCCTGCCCATTGTTACAATGAGGGATGGAGGGGGTGAGCGAAGGTGCTTTAGTAACATGTAACACCCTGAATATGGGTGTAACATGTTCCTAAAAGTGAACTTATCCTTTAAGTTACCTTATCCTTTGAGATTTCAACTGATATGCCTTGCTATTAAATTAATGTTTTTTTTATCTTTGTATATTTAAAGATCTGTGGAGTTCTTGCTGATATAGAAGCTACATGAGAATTTCTAGCAAGGACTTTCAAATATTAATAGTAATACTTGTACATTAATTT